TTTTCTTGGATCTAAAGGTTATAAAGAATGAGGTTGCTATGTGTCTGTGCTTAATGAGACTTAGTACTTGCAGTAAACTTGGTTCTTGAATTAGAAACTCTTTAAATTTGCAGCCTAAATAACAATTATACTTCAAGAATTTGACTTGGGTGGGGAGAAGAGAAAAAAACATAGCCTTAAAATCTTATGTTTTTTTGGTCTAGACGGAGTGTGATTGAAGCTGTTTATAACAGACTGAATCCCTACAGGAACGATGATACTGTAAGTATCTTTTCTCTCACATTCTCACCCTGCCCCAGTAATTTTTATGCAGAAATGTATTGCTGATCCTTGGCTTAAAAATCCCTTCCTCTAATCCCTACCCCTCACCCCCAAAGAAAAGTAATGTCAAAGCTGTATTCTTTAGATTATACCTCGTGACTATTTCCTGATGCCTTCTGCTGGTTGCAGCCTCAAAACCCCAGTAGGTTGTTTTTTTTCCCCCATCTTCTGCAATTTCATAACTTGAATCCTCTCTAGGTTTCCATACGCTCTTCTGCCACATGGTGCCAAGTGTCATATGTGTTTTTCTTGTTGGGGAGACTTCTTTCCCCCAGTTATCAAAAAGGAAAGTACAATATTTGTGGATTAAACAAATTTGTGACTATCATTTTATATGGTATATTCATTTTTCAACCGACACATAAATATTTTCTCACTACTAATCATGGTCCACCTTATAGCATGCATGCAGTTTAGGTTTTTTTGATATGTCAATGATTAAACTGTTAAGTACATCCACTGGTTAACTTGCATATCAGCAGGGGAAAAAAAAAGCAATTCTAAAACAGGAACATTAATTCTAGTTGTAATTCAATCACTATGAGCAAATGTTCAATTATTGAAAGTGCAGGACTTCATTAAGTAGTTAAAATGATCCTTTACTGTCAGCAAAAATGATTTGCATTCTTAGCTGTGACACAGAAGTGAAATACATCCAGGCATGAATTGTACATTGGCTTTACAACTGAATGCTACAGTTTGGTGCTTTTCATTTACGATACCTTGAGCATAACAATTCCTAGCGACTGCCTGAGAAAGGATGCTTTGCATTCAAGAATACCCACTATGGTATGTTACTCTTCTGCAAATACACAGTACACAAACTTCTGCGTTTTGTGCTGATGTTGGCAGCTTGGATACAGGAAATTGCATACTGAATGGTTGGCATGCAGCTTTGGCGTTTTTGATTCACTACTGTTTTTATTCCTCATCCTTGCTCTTGAAACAAACACTCCTTTAACTGCTCTACTTTGCTACTTTGTTCTCCAGGGGAAAAGCTGGAGGATGATACTCTTGCAAAGGCTGATTTTAATGATGTGTTCTTTACAAATAAATGTGTATATATGTGCCTCCATACTAACTAATTTTCTGACTTGCAGCGAACTGTTCTTTGTGCAAGTGTGAAATGAGGATGCAGAATTTTAATGCTAAGAAATTGTCGTATCTGGCATTGCTAGAGCCATAATTAGCCTCTTCCTCTCGAAGGAATTGGTGAGACAGTGCCTTTAAACAAGAGGACGCGTCTGCGGTGTCATCTCCTGGTTGTGGTGGCACCGTCCAGGCCCGGCGTCTAGAGCGGATGAGGCAGATGAGCAAAACATGCTGAGCGAGGGAGAAAATGGACACAGAGGCAAATGCATTAAAAAGCACTTGCCAGAACTTGGCACTGTGTTTTAAAGCACTCTGTCCCTGATCTGATTTCTTTTTTCTTATGTAAATGTTTTTTTTCTCTTTATGACTAGCAGTTCAAAACTAGGGTTTAGTTTACAGTCTTCTAATTATCAATGTTTAAAATACATCTGAATTATAACAGGGTGCAGGTTGGTTGAATGGCAGCATGGAAGGGCTGGAAACATAAAAGGTATAGATGAACAGGCAGTGCTTCATGCTATCTGTTTTCCCACACACCTGTATAATAAGTGTATCTGTATTGCCTCAGACTGTTCTTGAAATCTTTTTGAACACTGTTCTTAGATTATTATTTTAAGAGCTATTAAAACACTCGGGTCAGATTTAGAAATGTCCTTAAAACTTCATGCATTAGTTAAAAATATTCATTTTTCTTGTATACTTCTTAAATGTTATTTCTGAAAAGGCTCCTAAAATTATGCAAGTCTTTACCCTTTTCAGTCTGGATTATCCAGAATTTGCTGCAACTATGGACAATCCAGACTTTAAAGGGTTCCTTCTTTTTTCTTTAAGGACTCTGCATCAACTGATGATATGTGGTAAAACTGCTCATCTAACTGTGGAGTTCACGTTTCATCCTTCAAATGAGAGTGCAGCCCAACCTCAGTTACCCTTCTTAAGATCCATCCTCAACCTTAATTAAAGAAGGGAATATGATGTGTTGGTGAGAGTGACTACAGCAGAAAACTACAGCAGTACAACGTCTAGCCCAGGAACTGATCCTTTTTTTGTAAAACAGACTTCTGTAAACGTGATTTCAAACCATAATTCATGTAAATCAGACTCCAGCAATTTATGTTGTATGATTTTGTTTTTGTAAAGTGCAATTGTCTTTGTACAAAATGCTCATATTTAATTATGAACTGCTTTAAATCACTATAAAGGTTAGAAGAAATGTTTGGCTTGTGTGATGCAACAATATATATCCCTTTAAATTCATGTTGTGGTTTTGGATGGCAAGGAGCAGCAGCCTAGCCAGCTAGGAGCTCAAGAGGTGCACAAAACTAAAAATACTTTTATACGAAAGTTGAATTTGGGGGTAATTTATCAGAAATTACAGGGTGTGAATTTGCTTGGCAATGGGAAAAATAAGAATAGTGCACATTCTTCAGCAAATACCTCTCTTGAGGCCACTCCTGCTCTCGCACTGAGCTAAAGGGAGCTCTGATTTTGACTTCAGTGGGAGTTGAATCATACCCTATTAATAGCATCATGCGTTCATTCGCATATGAACCTTGGGATTAGAATGTCTTGATTCTCTGCACCTCTTTTTTTCATTAACCCTTACCTGAAATTACTAATCACTGAGCACAAACAGGTAACTTCCTACATATGGTAGGAACCCGCAGCATTTTTACAATCCTGATTGGCTGGGTCTGCTGCTGTTCCGAGGAAAATGCCCCGAATTCCATTTTATCAATAAAGCTTGATTTAACAAACAAGAAATTTATCCATAAATGTGTAATTCCTTTTTTTTTTTCCTGCTTTTTAAAATGTCAGTGACATTGTAAATGATATTTTACATGTGGAAAAAATATTTTTACTAATTGGTAGCTCATTTTTAAAATGGGAGAAATTTTGATTGTTTCCCAAGACGCAGCCATTGCTAGAGGATGACGTGGGAGTGATCTGTTATGCTGTTTTTCACATGTGTGGGTTTTTTCAGGCTTTTTGTTTTTCCTCCCCACTGAAGATGTGCATTGGTTTGAATTTGCCCACTGTTTGATTAAAAAATACATTTGTCCAAGCCTGACAATCTTTAACATTTTATGGTGTGTGTTTTTAATTGACCCACTTAACTTAGGATGAAAGACTAGTGGTTAAACAGTACTTGTGATTTGAAATAGAGCATGTTGACAATATTTAACTGTTCGTTGTTTAAAATTCTAATTTAAATTTTTTAAAGATAATAAACTAACTTGATTTAAGCTTACCTTTCTCCCACTGAACATACAAAATTAAGTTTTCAAGTCAGTCGTGTTTGCAAAACTACTGTTTTGTGCACCTTGTATTGTCTTTTTTTGGTTGAGAATATTGTATTTAATATGTAGTTCACTTTATTCATTTAGTAGGCAGATTCCCCAAATTGAAAATCAGTAAAACAAGTAGATTGTAACATTTACTGCAGTTAAACAGAATCAAAACTTGGTGTATAATTACTTTTGG